AACCCTAAACCCTAAACCGTGCCAGAAAGGCCCAGGGCCCAGCTGAGCAGCGCAAGCTCCGAGCAGCCCAGGGCTGGGAGTCGGGCCGCCAGGTCCTTTTGAACCGGGAATAGGGCTTATAGGGTTGGGTTTAGGGTTTAGGGTTTAGGGTTTAGGGTTTAGGGTTTATAGGGCTTTATCGGGCTTTTAGGGCTTCTAGGGCTTACAGGGTTTATAGGGTTTATGGGGGCTTATAAGGCTTATAGGGGCGTTTAGGGCTTATAGGGTTTATAGGGGCTTATAGGGTTTATAGGGCTTTATCGGGTTTATAGGGTTTAGGCGGTTTAGGGTTTATAGGGTTTATAGGGTTTGATCTAGGGCTGATAGGGTTTATTATAGGGCTTATAAGGTTTATTATAGGGTTTATAGGGCTTATAGGGTTTGCTGATAGGGTTTATAGGGCTTTTAGGGCTTTTTAGGGTTTAGGGTTTAAGGGTTGGGGGCTTAGGGTTTAGGGGTTTAGGGGTTGAGGGTTTAGGTTTTAGGACGAAGAAGCGTTCCCACAAGAAGGGTTCGATAGTAAGGATCCCACATAAGGACCTTGTGAACTCGGAATATGGGTTCTGGAACTAAGAAGGGTTTCTATAGGAAAGGTTCCATAGAGGGCCCTTGTAATTGTAAACTCGGAAAAGGGTTCTAGAACCAAGGTTCTGTGATACGCAAGTGTTCCAAAATAAAGGCTTTTAAAGGTATCTTTTAAAAGCTCCAGAACCAGGATTTTGGAAATTGGGTTCTGCAAGATTGGTTGTGTGGTAAAGGTTCCTTTGTGGGCCTTCAGCATTCTGTAAGACGAGTTCCTTTGATGATTCTAGATGGGCTTCTATGAAGGGCTCCTCAAGTTCCTTCTAGGATTGAAAATTGCCGGAACTCGCATTAAAGGCTCTGAAAGGGTTCTTGCCGAGCTTCCGTTGCATTGTTCCTCTCCTTTCGGGGTGTATAAGGGTTCCTTTGAAGGGTTCGGGCGTTTCGCTTCAAGGATTCTAGGGTGGAGGGTTGGAGCTCCAGAATTTAGACTTGATGGTGAAGCATTAAGAGGGGTCAAAGTTTAGGGTTTAGAAATCTAGAACCATACGTTTGTAGTTTTGGGCTTCGTGTTTTACATCAATTTCACCAAGTATGCTCGCTGCACTCTCACAGGATGGTCGCGGGCATGTCGTGGTGCAACCGTAGCCCGTTTTGAACCAAACCCATTTCGCATCTGGGTGGCGGCCCTTGTTGGGGAGGTAGCATAACAACAATTTAGAACACGATGACTTCCAGATTGATTGAAAGGGTCTGAAGAAAACTCTTATCCAACCTTTATGTCAAACCAAAGCCCTTAAGCCGATGCCAATCAAACCCGACAACCTCAACTTCTGAGGCGAGTCCGCCAGAAAAACAAGTCGCCATCTTCCCGGAGCCCTTGAGGGGATGCGGTATTCTTTGCCGGCTCCTCGCATAGGACAGCAGCAGCCAAGTCATCACGGACCTTTGTAGACTACCCCAGGCTAGGGGTTGTAGGCTCAAGGATTTGGGTTTGTTTTCGCATTTGAGGTTGGGGCTTGGGGTTTTAAAGAAATTGTTTTGCATTTCGGGCTTAAGGTTTTGGGTAGAATTGGTTTTTTCCGATTGAAATTCAGGAGTTTGGGGGATTGAGGTTTGGGGTTTTGGGTTCAGGCATTTGGGCTTGGTTTACCGGGTATCAGCTGGCGGATCATGGGTTAGGGCTCAACGTGTAGGAGTTTAGGATCTTGGGCATACGTGTCCGCTTTAGGACATGCAGCTTAACTTATGGTTTAGGATTTAAGCGTTTTGGGCGTCGCTGTTGTTCGCAGGGTTGTGCATCAAGGACTCGTTTGCATAAGCCCTAGGATTGGGTTGAGGGATGGGCGATAGTGGCCAGAGTTCAAAGAGGATATGAGTGGCGTAGGCGCAGGGATTGTTATTGGGAAGATTCCTGAGGCGCGGAATCTAAGCCCAACAGTGCGAAAGGTCAAGGCCTAACCAGGGACAGAGTGGGGATTTGGAAGCAGAACACAGGATCTTGAGCAACATACTCTGCAGCGGCCGAGTCACGAGACTGGTCCTTCTAAGGTGTGTTTCTCGAGCAAGTAAAAGGGCATCAGAAAACAAAAACAAACCTTCCTGATTATAAAAGTCCTATATCGCAGGTGGAAGTCGTTCTGCCTGGGTGGCCAGCATTCGCATCTTGTGCTCATCGTAGTCTTCGGGGTGCCGCTTGCAGAAGACCGATGCCGTTGCACCATCCACGCCAACTTCCAAACGGATAATTGTACCGGTCTCCAGCACCCGTTTGATTCCAGCCAAACTCATGCGGCGAACCTGCTTGCCATCAAACTGTTCAAAACGTTCGCTCAAGCTGTTGGGGATTTCGCCTTAGATGGCGGGTGTGGATAGCGTGGACACACCAAGGCACAACTGAGACCACGTCTTTCTTTCTTGAAAATCCGCCCACCATGCTCAAACTTTGACACAACATCTGTCAGGCGGAGGCGACTCTCATCCGGCACATAGTGGTCCAGCACTTTCAAAAACGAGTCCACCGAGTTCAAAACGTAGGGCCCATATCCTGGCTCCAGGAGGCCGGCACTCCAAGTAGCCATATGGGTAGTTCTAGAACTACCCATATAGGGTTTAGTTTAGTTCTGTCAACTTTACATCGTTTCGAAGGGGCGAGCTGCTCAAGCTCGGCTAAGGGCCAACGGGAATTATATGGGGACGGAGCAATTCAGAACCTCCTCCACCCTCCGTCAAATATCTCACCTGCGAGACCTTCACCTCACAACCCCGTTCTCAGATCTCCACCTGTCGTATTGAAAACCCCGAATCCTCAAAAATCCCCCAGACTCCTTCGCTGATTTCACAAACACCAATTAAAACCCCCAGATAAGCTGCACAAAGCTTGACAACGGAACTTTCGACATAGGCGTCCTAATAGATCACCCCAAATACTCGGATCCGTATCACAAGGGCGTCTTTTTGCGCCAGCTACGTGGGTACAAGGCCCAGACCGCGAGCACAGCAAGCCCGGAGAGGGATAAGACCAAGTCCTCGTGGCCACATTTTAGGGCCTACACAATTCTTTGGGTCTTGGGTATTGTCTACTCTATAGCTCTATGGGGATTTTTTGTTTTAAATATATTCTACCATAACTCTATGGGGATTATAAGGGATTACTATCTAGAAGTATTCCATCAGGAAGTTCTTGGGCCCAGAGCCGGTGGGGGTTTCAGGGGTTGGGGTTTATGAGATAAGGAGAGCAAGACGACGGTCAGAGACAGAAAACCTAAACCAACATCATCACCATTCTCGTCACGAGCAACACAGTCGTGTTCAAACTTACCTTTGGTTAGTAGGGAATGGAGGAATGGGGTACAATTATAACTACTATTACTACCATTCTTCCATTCCCTACTAACCAAAGGTAAGCAAAGTACAGTAGGAATGATCTACTCCGCAAGGCGCAGCACCAGCACCAGGAGGAAGACACAACTTTCCAGCGCAAGAGCTCGCAGATCGCGCAGTTTTGCTGCAGGCTTGGGATCGGGTTTAGTGCCTTCGAGATCTGGGTTCAGGGCTGAATGCCTTGGAAGCTTCACCCTGCAAATTTTGGAGGCCAAAGCCTGCAAAGCCGGTTTAGGCTTTCGCCTCCCCGAACCCAAAGCCGAAAGCCTAAACCCTAAACCCCTAAACCCCTAAGACCCTAAACCCCTGAAGCCCTAAACCTCTAAACCCCTAAACCCCTAAACCCCAAACCCCAAACCCCTAAACCCCTAAAGCCCTAAAGCCCCCC